AGTTTTGCGTGCGCGCGCCGACCAGTCCGGCAAACAGGTTTGCTACTGTACAAATAACTGTACAATATCGCTCTATATTTGTACTGTTATTTGGACGATATTCGCTGCAGTCGGATAATAACTGACAATGTTGTACCATGAGTGTCAGCTATCGTTGTAAATTCTTTCCTGGAGGGCTTAATACTTTCTTCTCGACAACTAGTTATTTTTATTTGCAGGAAGAAAATCAAACAAAAAGAAAAATTTAATTCAAAAAAGTAAGTCATCTTCTGTCTTGAATTTTTTGTTTGTTTTTATCCTCAATACGCACGAAGTTATGATTTTCACTGACGTTTAATGTATTATGATTATGATAATTTATGTTTCAGTGTTCTTCTCTTTGCCCGTTGGAGCTGAATTACCAATTTATTACACTCATAAGCAAGGTAAGCCGCATATAATACCCATATCCTGTATTAAGAATGATTATCTCTTCTTTTGAAGAGTGTAAGGTGGGTGGTGAGGGAAGGGGAAGGGAGTAGGTTTGGTGGGAGGAGAAGGTAGTGCCTTCTTTGTTCACTATTTTGTTATTAAGCTGAATTCCTTTTAATTTCTTTTTCAAGTGCCAGTATCACATAAAAAGAGCACGGTGGCTGATTCTGAAGGTATGCTTAATTTCTCTGTTTGTTACATCACAAGAAGGGGGAAATAAAGAATTCAGGATCGAAAACAATATGACTGTGAGGGAAAGAACAATTTATTTCCTGGTTACGGAAGTAAAGAAGAAGATTTTCCTACGAATATAGAAAAAGTGATTTTAATCAGAAATAGCTATCCCACTGTTAAGCGTTCTCTAATTAGCACATTTCTTTCATTTCTTTACCACAGTTACCGATAGTGAAGGTAGTAGATATTTTTCTGAGGAAACCAGTGGCCCCTTTAGGTCAAATACGTGGGGATTGCAACAACCTCTTGGTATGTTTAATGTTTGTCAGGCGATGCTATTTAAGAATCTTGTTGTCTGCGTTGCCGAAGGAAGAGTCGAACAAGGAGGTTGTCTGTCAAAAATACCTCAAAAATCACCCCATGTAATCCTAAATGATGTCACTGTTAAGGCAACCACTGAGTTATAGACACAGCAGAGGATATTTTTGTGGCCTCTCGGGGATATATAAGTTCCTTTTTGCCTTACTTTGCCCCCTTTTCCCTATAAATAAGTTAAATTGTTCCTTAAAATCTTCCCAGAAAGTTCCCATTACTAGCAAAGATGATCCTTGTTCCATGAAATACTCCAACATTATCCCTTGCTCCCATGAAATGAATAATTTGGTTCCCTTGCTCCCCAAACCCATAAGAGGCCCTTAGTTTTGCTTTTGTGGAAACAGGAAATAACATTTGGCAGGATAACGTCTCTTGCTACAACTTAAAAAACATATATTTATCTTTGGAGGGGCTGAAGTACCTTTCAAGCGCAAGCTTCTTAAGTAATACACGCTACTTAACGAGGCTTATTTCTCTACAACTGTTTTCATTTTCATTCAAAGAAAACGAAGAACTCTCACCTGATTTAGAAACAAGGACAATAGCGAAACAAAATGTTCTTCCTTCCAGTGAAGGTGAGTCAGTTACAATTCTGGTCATAAAATTTGAAGTTACATAATGCCACCTAGAAACAAATTACTTTGAACTGTGATGTCATTACTCTCCACTCCAAAGCAACGTTGGAACATAGGAGCTTGCCTGCAATGATCAGCATCTGTTTAGACTTATTGTGTTGTCTACGAAAACCATCAACCAAATTCAAATCATTTTCTGCTCTGCAGGGGACTTGAGGTTTCATGGGATTGGAGGACAATATCTACGGCCTCGAACAATCGATAGATATCGAGTATTGAAGAATAGAGGCCAGTTTTTTAAAAGGCCATCTAGAACACAGCGAATTCTGAACGGTAAGATTGTGAATTTAAAACTGTACGCTTGTTACCTACAGGAGCTGCGTCGTGTAAGCTGTATTTTAAAACATATAGCATTATATTTCAAATTCGCTGCTCTTTATCCATCACGGTCGCCTTCAATTAATCTAAACCATCCTTATTCCTCATTTGTTTACATCATCGTCATTATCGTCAAATCATCATCCTCATCCTCCTCCTCCTCATCATCATTATTCATTTTATTTAAAACTCGGTAAAAATCTTCAGTAATTACAGTAGTATACCAATCCAATTATAATATCTTTTTTGTTTTCTACTGCCTTAAGTTGAGTTATTCTGAGACTTATACTTCAATTTGAAGGCGAGGTTTTGTATCGCACAAACTGACTGAGAGTGAAGGGCCTTACGACTTTACGTTGTTAGATAATAGCGCATGCTCGCCAGGAGGAGTTGCGTTTAACCACGTGACTTTTTTCGACTTCAGTGTATAGAAGGTCAAAGACACCAGGATTAAAGATGACAAGAAGAGATGTTTCCAAAACGAAGAAAACCTCTTTACTAAAACAAAACAATGGTATGAAAGCAATTAAGCAAGCAAAAATGTTGTTAGAACAAAGTATGTGTTAAAAGTAAATATTAGATTGCAATATGTTTTTAGAGTTTTTTTATGAAATTTATTTTGTGGGAAAAGTGTTAAAAAATTCAAAGAGATACTCATGAGGAAGGGAAATGATTTTTTTTTCTCATGAAAATCTTTGTGTTCTTTTTTCAGAGTTCAGTAAATTAGAAAATGCCGGTTATATAACGAAAGGTAAGCATACAATTTAATTTATTAAGTCTCATAAAATGTCATTTCTTTCATTTTTTTAAAGACTAAAAATTTAACAGATAACTCAGTATGCTTTGAAGATTGTTTCAAGAACTCAGGATAAGAAATCACAATAAGTACTTGCCGCGCGTATACTTAATGAATAAGGTGTTTGATTCCTGTTTTAGAAATAAAGACAATTTTGAAGCCAAAATTGCCAATAGTGATGTTTATTTCATGAGTTCATTTGACAT